CTCCATCGTTCTGCTAGAGTACGGCGCCAATTCCATATTGGCTTGCGTCAGTCATAACAATGAACGGAAGTGATGGGTCTGAAACCGTCAAGACCGAGTACTCAATCTATGACTTCTTCAATTTCTTGAAGATTGAGGTACAGTCTTTGTCCCAATTCCAAATGTCTCCTTCCTCAGCATTTTGCGCAGTGGTGTAGTGATCATTGTGCGACTCCCACTGGCTGCGACTCCTAATGCCTAAAAGCGGACAATGTGGTTGGGATCACCACATTTTAGGCATTGGTTGGCCTTAAGCCGTTTCTCCCACAACGATTTCTCGATGCCCATCTCTTTCCATAGCTCTCCGACTGCAATTCTTAGATGTTCTGGCCATGGTCTCCACCCTCCACCTCTTCCACCTGTGAAGGAGGAACCGCGTCCGCCTTGTGAGGAACCATAACCCCTACCTCCGGCATAATAGCTAACTTCGCTACTACTCCCCTGGGTGCCACGTCCTCTTCCTCCACCTCTTCCTCCACCTATTCCTCCACCTATTCCTCCACCTCCTCTTCCTCCAGCCTCCTCTTCCAATCCGTCATCTATGTTTTCATAAGGCAGTTCCTTGACTTTACCGCCCTCGAACACTACCAGAAGACTATCCTCTCCCTATGTGCTCCCATATATCGTCTTGTTCTTCCAGCGACCTCCTTGCTGTGAGTCCTTCCATTAATGGCAAAATAGTTTGCCTCTTGGAGGCAGACGGCGTCGTCTACGGCCATCTTGCTAAATTTTTCGCATGTCATGCCCTCTTCCTTGACTTGGGCATAGAGTTTGGATCAATGTGCAAAGTTGTTCAAGATCTGCGCTGGAGTGAGACCGGGCACGAGGTACTGCAAGAGTTCGTCCATAGTGACTTTTAGGGTCGACACACTCTTCCATTTCCAATCGGCTATGTTGAGGATCAAATGGTCAATACGTCCGGCCAAGTTCTTGTCCTCAAATCGATTCTTTAAGGCTAGGAAGAAATCTTCAATGCGGGTCCGTTGAGAGTCCGTTGGGAGTATTCTACCATCGATGTGCACCCTCCCTCTTTCATTAGTGAAAGAGCAAAATTTGCAGCATCTCCCCCGAGGCACGAACTTGCCATCAAGACACGGTCCCAGTATGGTATCAATTTTCCATACAGGTAGGTGCCCATGCGCGCCTCCCACTGAAAGAATTTTTCTTCCCTTTTTCCGCGATAGGTCCAAGGGATCTTTACCTTCATCTTTCATCTTTTATCTCCTCTCTCCCCCTTTGGATGGTCTTTCTCCCCCCTTCAGGTCTCCTTCCTTTTGGGGGTCTTTGCCTCCCTTCCCATCATCACCACCATCATCTCCACCTCCACTCCCACTTGCTACCTTTATTGTGGCGACGGTGTCTACTAATTTTGAGGTGAAGATGCCTTCCAATTGCTGTGCATAACCCCCAACACGCTCATCTATTCCATGGGCAGCGCCACTTAAGTAGTTGTTCCAAGCGCCTTTGAACTCAGGATTGTGCTGTTCGAGCTGGGCGACAGACTTATTTATGGCGGCGAGTTCCTGGTTAGTGCGCAGCAAGGCATTAATCACGAGGGTACAGTCATCCTTCCACTCTCCCTCACGGCCTTTCTGTTCCTTCAGCTGGCGTTCCATCTCTTCCCGCTCAGCTTTCAACCTCCTCTTCTCATCCAGCTCCGCCCTTTTCTTTATCAGGAGCCGCTGCTGCAATTCATGTTCCCTTTCCTGCATCAGCAGTTCTCTCTCAGCGTCGTCCGCTGCCGCCTCCAACTTTGCTGTGAGTACAGCCCTCTCGGCCTCTGACTCTTCTGGCCACTCATTCTTCTTGAACCCAAACTTCTCCATACACGTCTAGGTGTCGACAAGGTAGAAATGCAGCTGACTGGACTCTCCCCTTTCGTTTCGTATACCTCCTTCAAACCTATGTCTGGGGTCATCCAGCCTCACCTCCTCTCCTTCTTCTTCTTCTTCTTCTTCTTCAACCACTTCAGCCTGCTGTTTCTGTTTCTCTAGCGTTTTTAGCTTCTCCTCCAAATCCCTTCTCTCCTTCTCCCATCTCTCTTTTTCTTCCTCTTTCTTCTTCCTCTTCCCCTCCTTTTTCTCCTCCTCCTCCGCCAGCCTTCTATTGATCACGGCCTGTTATTCATATAGCGGACAGGGCCAAGAAGCCAAACATCGGGTAGCCATCCATGGAAGGGTCAGCACAGGTAAGTTGACTCCACCTCACCTCCTAGACCTACTCCTCAACACTTAATTGTCCTCAATACTTGTACCGACGTACATCACACATGAAACTTTCACTCTCACAGGATTAGGGTCCCACTGGGTACCTATGCCCCCAGGTAGGCCGGCCACCCTAACCACTTCCCCCACAAGGGGGAGGATCCTTTCCTCCAGGAGACATCAGTTTCTGACCCACCAAGCAACAGGCAGACCAAGTGCGACTGCTGACTCAAATGACATGATGACATCAACAGAAATCAATTTGCAGCAGAGGTCACCAGGAAAGTACGTGGGAAGGTACCATTCACAACAAAATTCACATTGCATAAACGACAGGGCCAGGGCAAAGAAGCACTTCACTCCTTGATGAAGCTCCTCGATCGCAGGTACATGCTCCCCTTGCTCCTTGCTATGCCCCTTCTTCTTCCGCCCTCAGCATGCAGTCAACCCTAATCTTTTTTTTTTTTTTTTTTTCCCTGCCCCGCCTTCTTCCTTGTCAGCGTCTCAACTCCGAGCGGATGCAGCGGAAACCAGCTCTGATACCACTGAAATGAGCCAAGTACTCTTCAAGTTCAACCTCGCATACATCAGTGAACATTCACATGAGAAAAGCCAGATCGATATACAATCAACACTTGAAGATGTTGTCTCCAATATTATTTTCAATATTCAAGAATGTGTCTCCAGCGGCTCTGCCACACACACACACACAATGGATCTCAACCAGATAGCGGCTATGACTTCTCCCCTCTCTCCTCTCTCTCTGACTTAACTCACTTTGCCTCACTCTCTCCCGTCTCTCTACCCTAGATCATTACCCTGGATTCACAACTCAGGTAGCTTACACCTTGGCGGCTATGGCCGCCATCCTCCTGCTCTACCGCTAGCCTAGCTACGGAGTATCTCTCAAGCGCCCTCTTCTTCTTTGGGCGCACAGTCCCCAAGTTGCCTTAACGCACAAGCAGCAGCAGTGCTTCCACATTTCGCAACTGAACACGTGATGAGCCGCTGCACTGTAGCAGCTAAATATAGGACTGGGCTTTGCTGGGCTTGGCTTGGCTTGGCCTGCTTCAGACCGGTACGGGTCGGCTACAGCCTGTCTGCTGCAGACATTTTGTTGGTCCAGTAGCTTCTGGATTTTCCCGGGACATGCTGCAAAATTGGACTCGGGACTGTTGGACTGGACGCTTCTGGACTTTCTTGTCGGGTACCGGACGCAATCCTACTGACCTGCGACGCCTCGGTACCGACACCTACCGACCTACGACGCTTTGGTACCGACACCTACCGACCTACGACGCTTCGGCCTCTAGACCCTACGGCCCACCCTACGGGACGGACTGTAGACCCTACGGCCTGTCTGCTGCAGACATTTTGTTGGTCCAGTAGCTTCCGGATTTTCCCGGGACATGCTGCAAAATTGGACTCGGGACTGTTG